CACCTGAGTAAGTTTTTAAAAAAATCTTTTTAGTGACTCTTTGGGAATTTCACATCATACACCCCATCATACTCATTTCCCAGTCCTTCCATATTCATTCCCCACCCTTGTGACTTCCTGCCCTCCCCAAATTAAAATTCAATTAAAAAGAAGAAAACAAAACAAAACACAAACAAGTCCAATTTGTGTTACCTATATACTCACTGGAGCATGGGCAAACTCCCAGTGGCCTGCCCTTAAATAGGACTGAGTCCTTCCCCTCCTGCACCCCAGCCAGAAGCCATCAATTGTGGAGAGCTAACTTCAGCATCATCATCACACTTTTAAAGAGGTCTCTTTGATGGCTTCCTGTTTAGACTGTTACCTTTTGGGGCTGGGGTGGGGTGGGTGTAGGGCCTGTCATGGACACTTTCCTCTTTCTCAACTGTGTATCTGCAATCATTGATATCACTGCAAAAGTAGCCTCCTTGCTCTTCCCAGTCAGTGGGAGCACAGCACAGACCACGAACAGAGCCCTTGGCTGTAGTAGGACCACAGACCCAGGCAAGGCCCTTGGAGACAGCCCTGATCCTGGACATCAACTTGGCCTCAGAGGGCAGTGTAGGCCACTCACATTAACGGCTTTGGGGGCAGCCCAGACTCTGGACATCCAGATGGCCTTTCGTGACAACATAGGCCCCGGACATCAACACAGACTCTGACTACAGCAGGACCCTGGACCCAAAAATCACCGTTGGGGTCAGCATGGATCAGGAAATCACCGTGAGCTCAGATGGCAGCTCAGGCCACTCCCGTCAGCCTGGTCCTCACTGCTGCCTCCAGTTCTGCCCTCTCTCTCCACAGGGCATGAACAGCTCACTCTGCTTCTCTCTGTCTCTCTCCCATCCATCCACCACTCACATGCTCATTGTAGTGGTGATGTGAGGTGGGGCAGCCTGCTTGAGTAGGCTTTTTAAGTGTTAGTTTGCATAGTAGGACAACCTTTGGAGCTAGAATAATTTTAAGAAATTGAAATTGAAATTTAAAAAAAAAAAGCAGGACTCTCTGCTTGGAATTCATTGTGACGTGACGTTGTGCTTAACACAATTGTATATTCAACACTGTCATTAGTAGCCAAGCCACATATGAGTAGATTTTGCAACCAAGAAAAGTCTATGCCTTTATTTATTATTATTATTATTATTATTATTATTATTATTATTATTATTATTATTTATACAAAGGTAAAGTGAAAATGTGGTAATTAACCTTGTGATAAGGTTACTTAAGTTGCTCAGGGGTCTGTATATATATCTACCTAGTGCTCAAGCTGCCCCAGAATGCCTCAACCTAAGCTAAATTGTACATTTGTGATGAAATGATTTGCCTACAGACTGTTCTAATGCTAATAGAGCAGAACACGGTTAAATGGTCTTAGCAGATAGAAAGTGGAACCCAGCTGTGCTCCACAGAGCAGTGTGCCTGATGGCAACCAAGGACTGGGTGGTGAAGGACTCCCGGCAGCAGGCTGGAGTCTGGGGAGCTGGATTGGACTCTCTGGACTAGGCTGGGAGGAGAAACGGCAGTAAAAGCCTCTTTTCCTGAAACATTTACCGAGAAACAGATTCCAAATATGAACTTTGAGTAAAATCCCTTCCATTGACTGAATAAACAAATACTAACATCTGATGGGGGAAAAGCTCTTGCCCCTGCAGGAGGCCAAGGTCAAATCCAGCTGAAGGAAGACATCACACTTGGCAGGATCTGCCAGTGGGCTACAGAGCTTCACACTTGAGCTTGGGAAATACCTGGTGCTACCCTCTTCTTTGGATCTTGCTTTTCTTGATGGTTAACAACTTTGGGATCTGTTAGGACGGGACCTTGTAACTGTCTTGAGAGCTCTAACTTTCTGTCTTCTTCCAGAGAGAAAAGGCCTTAACCTGTGCAGTGATCTGAGTGAGACCATGGGGAGGGCGCCCCCCACCCCCATAGGCTCACACATTTGCATGCTCAGTTAGTCTTCAGTTGAGCTGTCAGGGAAGTATTAGGAGGTGTGTCCTTATTAGAGGAGGTGTGGCCTTGTGGGAGGAGGTGTGTCCCTGGGGGTGGACTTTCAGGAAGATATTTGTATCTGAAGGATGAACCAATGGTGGCATCTGAAATTTACATGTTATCCAGACCTGGAATCATGGCTCCGGTATATAAATAAGCTCAATGCTAGACTAGATCTTGCCTCTGAATTCATAACCCTCTTTGTATCAGTCTCACTAGATATCTAAGAGGTTGAACATTTGCCATGCCAGCCTTGGGGTGGTTCTCCTTTCTTTGCTTGCTTCTTTTCTCCCCTCCCTTCCTCTCTCCCTCTTTCTTATCTTCTTTGCCTCTCCTCTTCCTCTCCTTTTTCCCCTCCTCTCACCCTCCTCTTTCCTTCCTTCCTTCCTTCCTCCCTCCCTCCCTCCCTCCCTCCCTCCCTCCCTCCCTTCCTTCCTTCCTTCCTTCCTTTGACAAGGTCTTACTATGTATCCCAGGCTGGACTTGACCCTGACATCTCAGTCTCCTGAGACTGAGGATGACAAGTCCACACCACTGTGACTAGTTCAGTTCAGCTCTTTCTGTAGGTATATAGCTGATTTCAACCACACTTGTCATGTAGTGTTTCATCGAACTTCTTGTGTTGACCATTCTTGTGACGCTTACTTCCTGTGATTTGATGCCAAACCACCATTGTTTGAAAGAGCTCTTTGGCTGTCTAATTCAGTTGAGTATGGAGGGGCTTCTGGAAGATCAATAAATCAGCATAATAGCTTTCTATCTTGGGAAAATCTCATGCTTGCTTAATAATAATGTGCAGAGGCCATCATGTTGGGGCTCAAACTGAAATTCTATAGGTCTATGCTTTCAACATAAGAAGCTAAATTAAGCTAACTCTGTGGGCTTGTCAGCCCATGATTCTACATGACTGAATCTTCTGTTCTGTTTCCCCAAGGAGAAGAAATTCTGGTAGGAGTCTGCAGTGAACACCAAATGATTAACTCAAGTTTCATGTTTTACAGCATTCTTTTTCTTGTCTTTTCTTTTGAAATTTTTATTGTGCATTTTCATTGTACTTGGTACTGTATTACATAAGGACACTTATACGTATATTACATGCAAGCATATCTTTCTCACATCCTCATCTTCTCTTTTCTCATTCCCCTTTATCCCCATTAGACTCTTTTGGTTCCTTAGACAGATGCACTTCTATTTTCATATCACATATACACATCTTACTTTATGTATTGATTAGATATCTAGGAACCACACTGCAATATTTGCTTTGAGAGCACACAAACAATTTTTACTTTTCTGAGACTGGCTTAATTCACTTAGTGTGGTTGTTACTGGTTGCACACATTTCCTTCAACAAGTGAAAAACACTCTTAAACAAGTGAAAAACACTCTACTGTGTACTATACTTCCTTTATCCATTCCTCAGTTGTTAGATACATTGACTGGTTACTTAATTTCAATGCAGTAATGTGATATGTTGACTTGAAGACTTTGGGGTAAATACCAAAGGCTTATCTAGCATAATCACGTCATAGATCTATTTTTAGTTATCTGAGAAAACTGCATACTGATTTCCAAAGTGGTTTGACCAGTTTTCGTTCTCATCAGCACTGACCTTTATCTACTCACCTGTATCCACACCCCTGTCACCTTTTGTTGTTATTTATTTTCTCAATGACTGCCATTCAGACTAGGGTGAGGTGAAATCTCAAGGAAGTTTTGATTTGCATTTCTCTGATTGGGCTTTTTCTATATATGATATCTAGGAAGTGGCCATTAAAAACCCATACTCTTTCTATACCTTCAGTAGACTAATGTATGGACACCAAGAAGATTGTGTTTACATGATACATATATACATGTGAACATATATATATATATATATAGATTAATAATGCATATATAGTAATAATATAGGCATATTACCAAACACATGTTGGACTCTAGTCTTGTGCTAACAGGTAAGCATGGTAGTTCATAGGCTCCAGGTGAAATTCATGTAAAGAGGGTAGCTGGTGTGTGCTTTAGCTCATTATGTTACCCATCTTTACAGAAACTTTATAAATGCTTAGTAAATCCAAGGTCATAAAAATAGGCTGACTGCTGTTGGAACAATTCTCTTTGGCTGACTCAGGTCCATTCTCATCTGTCAAGAGTTACATAGAGTGTCATAGTCGAGCAGCTGTATTAGCTATTTTGCCATCACTGTGACCAAATACTTTACATACAAATGCAACTTCAGGGAGAGACAATTTATGTTGGCTGACAGTTCAAGCTATAGTCTTTCGGGACAGAGAAGGCCTGGCAGGGGGGAGCTGTATCAATGATGACAAAAGCATGGAGCAACTGCTCTTTTCATCTGTCACCCACCAAAAGACAGAGAACTCAGGTGGTGAGGAGGGTGGAATCTACCTCTCACGACTCCCCCCCCCTCCCCATGATCCACTTCCTCTTTAGGAAGGCCCCCTTCCTAAAGACTCCACAAGCTCCCCAAATGGCACCATTAACTCGTGTTCAGATACGAGATCCTTTTACACAGAAACCTCAGCCCCGACTTTTGCTCTCAGCGGGCACTGATGGGGCAGAGGCACTTTTGCTGGTTGACTTTCCTATTTCAGAGACCCACACTTCTAGATCTACAGGCTGGGGAGTCTGGGTCTGGAAAATGACTAAAATAGGAGCTTGGCGGGAGAGAGGTTTATATCTGATTACAGTCAAATGGTTTGATAACTGTAGAGAACACTGGAAAATACCAGGATACACACTGATATTTGGTATGTTCTCCAGTACGCAGACCCCTCATACACCCAGTAAAGAAGTCCTATAGGTTTTTAATTGTACACTAAAAAGTATGTTTAATCAGGTTGCTTGGAAAGCCTGTAAGGGTTTTTGGAGACGATATGTTTCCAAACCTTTTCACAGGGTTTTTTTGCCCACCTTTTTAATCTCCTGTTTTGGTTTTTTTTTTAAAGAAATAACAGTGGTTACGCGACACAAACCGTGTGGGTGGCAACGCCTTCAGTTCATTCACATTTCAGGCTGCAGGGCCTCTTCTATCCTTGTTAATGAGAGTGCAAACCTCTCCTTTCACACAACACATCTTCTGTCTGTAATTTCCTTAAGATATCTCATGATTTTTCTGGTTCAATCATTATGAAAACCAAAAACCATGTGATCTTCATTGACAAAATCTTTGAGGGTCTCTGTTTTCAAATTGAAAACAGTTTTTGACAAAAATGATAGCTAAGAACACTTTTAACTAAACATAAGCTCAATTATGAAGAAAAATGATCTAAGAATTAATTTATTTGTACAAAAAAGGCAATATTCACATTTCTATCAAGTTTCTTGCTTATAAGTTCAGGAGAGGTGCATGGCCAAACCTGTTATGTGTTGTACTGAAATAGGCATGAATGAATGTAATACTTCCTCCAGTATACCAGGGCTAGACTCCAAATACCTGATGCTAGATTTCATGCTCTAAATGTGGTTATTTCACTAGTGAATACTGTCAGCTTTGGGGTAATGCAACAGCTAGTGGCAATTTAGTAGACTACTCTATTTCACAAGACCTGCAAGTTACAGCTGCTAAGATTTCTAGTCAGAAAGCGTATCATAGCTGAGCCACTTGGTTCTTATGGCCTTGTAGAAGGATTGGGTCTTAATCTTATCCCTATAGTTTTGCTGTGTTGACTTGGAAAAATTATTCCAGCATTGTACCTTCCAATTTCTTTATTTCTAAAATTAGGACAAAATATTCACTTTTTCTTGGCAGTTTTATATGAGTTTATACATTTAAAGCACTTAGTGGAGAAACTGATAAATTATTCCCCCAAATTGTAAATAGAAAAGGAATAAAAACCGTGACTATGAATGTGTGTATCATCATCTTTTTCATCTCTAGTTCTAAAAAGGTTATAATACCTTTACTCTAGTAACAGTATATGTCACACACACACACACACACACACACACACACACACACACACACACGGGGGGGGGGGACGGGGACACCTACTACTTTAAAATTATTTCTCTATTCCTTTCTAGCCAAAACAGAAACTCAGATGTTCCCCCTGTTTGGTTGAAAGAACAGCAGTACCCTTTTAGGTAAATCCTTTAAATGCTATAACAACCCTGTAGTTTCTTGCTTTTAAAGAATATTTCTGTAATGTTTCAGGATGAGAGATTCTTGATATTTGATACTCTTTGGCCAGAAGCTTTTCCACAGTTGCTTTTAGATGTGGGCTGTTCAGCTGCTCACTACAGTTGGAAGCCACTCAGCTTGTGGATATTATGAAATACCCACCAGACAGTGCCATTTCTTCATGTGTTTACACATGTATGTTCATCTGTGGTTCCAGAGACTTGCTTTTTTTTCAAAGCCTGTTCATAGAACATATGATATCTGTTATGATATATATATATATATATATATATATATATATATATATATATATATATATATATATATGACAGGTTACAGTTTGCTGCATTCTGAGTATCCTGGATGATGCGCATTTCTATGACTTAGGGCTATAATTGATGCATTCCAACCATTTGATAACAGTTAGGAACCCAAGTCAACACATGAGGTATCATCTAAAGCGGCCATGGTATAGCCTTTCCTATATCCACTTTTAAGTTTTCAAATAGAAGATACTGACTGATGGTTTGAAGTTGGGAAAAAGAAGAAAGAATGCCTAGGGGGAAATATATTCAGACCTTCTGAACCCAAATGTGGTGACTGCAATAGTAAGATGATTTTCCTTTCTGAATTTGCAATGTTTTCTTCTGAGCTGCTGGTCTTGGGGCACTGGATTAACTTGAAATCCTCACTTGAAGTGAAGAAAGAGAGGAAGAGCAAGAGCATTCAGCTGCACACAGTCTCGGAGCAGAGTCTGCCCTTGAAAACTCTTCCTGCTGCCCTGACAATTTCTGTCTCTCAGACTATGGAAATAATGACTTCGGGAGAGTTGCTCTTCTTCCTGTTCTATGTTGTAGTCTTTCTCCCTGGCCGTGTTTTTTTTTTTTTTTCTTAATTAGGATGATCTGCCATTTCCCACTACTGCAAGTTATGTAAAAGCCATGATTCTCCAGGCTGTTAGGTGGCAAGCGAAATGATCAGTAAGACCCGCTTCTGGCAGGAGAATGAAATCATTTTTTATGTTAAATAAAATAACGGCAGGATTCTACCCATAGCCCAGGTCTGACTGAGGAATGATAAAAGAGGAAGTCAGAGGGTGGAACTCTGATCAAATGGATTGCCTTTAGACAAAGCTCATAAGGAAGAATCCCTGTGCCAAAGCCACACAGCTGTAAGCCCAAATGCAGTATTTTTTTTTTAATGCCACTTAGAGGAGTTGGAGATTAACAAAGCAAAGTCTCATTAGGGACCCAGGCAGGAAGCTACAAAAGGACAGCTTTGTTTTCCTGTACATGGCCTGAGCCATGGTAGAAATACACTTTAGGGAAATAAAATGCTATGTGTGCTATACTTGTCTAAAGAAGTGTTCCAAGGCACCCCAAATGCCATTTCAAAATGTTCCTGTGTGCTAACCAAAACATGCTGATGGGTTGGGTAAAAGGTCTGACCTCTTCCTGTGTTTTCATACTTGCTTCAAGACTTTAGTCTTAACTCCCAGTGGTCCCTAGAGGAGCTGAGTATGGACAGAATGAGCTGGAGCACTGTGGGAGGCTGGGCAAAGAGGGGCAGTCTAGAGAATTCTTTACCATGATTCATTTCTCTCAAGTGAGGCTGATACTCGCTTTCCTTAAATTGCTGCAGTGCAGGAAACAGCGTGGTTGTGCCCTTGCAAAATGAATGAAGACCCACAGATGCATCAATCTTCAAAGGGCTTTCATTTTCTCTGTGTAACAAGCAGGTTTGCTGGGCTAAAATGATGGTCTCTTAGCCACACGAAGACCAACTCGTTCTGAATGAACACAGCATTTAAGGAATGTCAATGAAGTCTCTTGATGTGTACTTTTCTGTGTTGTTATTTTGCAAAACATGGATTGAAATCAATGTAGCAAAGATATGTGTGACCTGCAGGATGCAGATAACCCCAGCGGGCGTCATTGTGACACCATCAAGGGCATCCTTCCCTGGTTTAGCAACAATTTGAAGAGATGATTTTGACTGGAGTCATGATTATGCCACCTTTCCTTTTCTACACTGACTTAAAGGTATTGCAAGATGTTGATCTCTCTCTCTCTCTCTCTCTCTCTCTGTGTGTGTGTCTTTCTGTCTCTGTCTCTCTGTCTCTGTCTCTCTTTCTCTCCCTCTGTCTCTGTCTCTGTCTCTCTCTCTCTCACACACACACACAGAGCCAGTGAGGAAGTCTATGGTGACCTTAATCTGCATTGACTTCTTTCTTTTCCTCTGAAGTTTCCAGATGACAACACAAAACATCTGTATGTGTACATGGTAGAGAAAAGCCACAGTGTAATTATTAGCCTCAGGTGAGCTTCGGACCATCCCTCACATTCTCCCTCTAGAGTGCTGACTAAACAGTGGTGGAAGGCTGTTCTGGCCCTCGGAAAAGTGGAGCGCATCTGAGATGCCTGTGGTCTGTAATTATTTGGGGGCTGACAGTTGCTGAACACCATCTCTAACAATACCTGACGCATGTCTTAACACTTTCCTCAGGCAAAGAACAAACTACATTACGACCAGCACAGGAGCCAGAGCTCACTGCCAGCTTCTTAGTCATCGTTCCCAGAGATATAGGGAGAGTGTTCCAGAGCTCCAACTAAGGAAACCAGTCTAAACTCTCAGAATGTCTTACTTACAGCTATAATCACTGCTGCTTAGATTATGGCATTCAGAAAGGGAGGTGATGGGGAGTCTTAGAACCATGGACAAATTCTGAGCTCCTCAGCAAAGTGTCCTGTAAATTCAATATACAATTATCTGGATCACCGTCATCATCATTTCTACCCGCAACAAGTTTGTAGATGTTTGGTGAGAAATAAAAATAATGTTGTGGAATGTGCTTCTCAGAACTGGAAAACATGTGGGCTCTGGAAAGCAGAGGCTTCCTTCTGGCCAAGTCCTCAGGGCCTGTTGACTCACACACTTCCACGGGCAAGTGGTGACACCATCCATTGCATTCTCTACCAGTGCTGTGCCCTGTATTTGGGCCACCTGATGGAGTGCAACTATTATGGCTAATAAGGAATATCTATTCAACTCTAATGAACAGAACAGAGAAATATTCAGAGAGAAAAATTGTTTCTATTATTTCACAGGATTGTGTATTGAAAGAAAGGAGAACATCTCATATAGAAGACTATCGTGATACAGCTTAAGATGAGCAGGGCAAACCTTAATAAGCATGTTCTAATGCTCAGACATGTTTAAACTACATTCTCAATGATGGAGGAGCTGCTGTCAAAGGGAACACCACCAGGAGAGCAGAGACACACACAGTGTCAGGGTGTTGCCAAAGGAAAGAGAAAAACCAGAGAAAGAAAAACCTCAGTGGAGGTTTAGCTGAGGAGGGTGGTAGAGGCCAGAATATCTGTTGCTTTTGTTCAATGTGCCTTGTAAAATGTTAACTAGATTATCCATCTTCCTCTTGTGAGGATATCTACCTTGCTCACTTACCCTTTGTGTGCCTGTATGTGTGCATGAGTTCTGAACCCACATTTACTCAGAAAGATTAATAAGTGCATATGTGGGTTAACTTATGAGCAAGAAGATTTGCAAAGAGCTAATCTAGAATCTAGGATACATTTCTTTTCAGTGACTAAGGAAACTTTCAAAGTGAAACAAACTTCCAGGAGAAAGCATGATGTTAATTATGTTTTATAGCATCTGGCCCAAGACAGAAGGCACACAAGTGCAGCTGAATGAAAGAGTCTAAAAGAAAGGGAGAAGACGATGAAATCTGCTAATAGCATTTATTATGGTCACTAGTAATTATCTTAAAGAGAACCATGCTATTTCCACATTTCTTAACTTGTCCAGTGCTATTATCCTTATATTTTTCAAGCTTTGTGGTATTTGCATAGTTGGTTAATTTGAATTCAGAATGCTTCCTTTATCCCTGTAGGGTTTTATGTTACCTGTGAAATACAAAGCTTTGTACTG